AGGTTAGGGTTATGCAGCAAGAAAAGATGTGCGCCTTCTCGGCTCGCAGTGACAGGCGGCTCGGGGCGGGGGAGCTCAGAAAAGCCAGACTAACAGCAGCCTCCTGTGTGCCTGCACTCGCGGGTGTGGACAGTCACCTGGCTGCTGGCTACCTCTATGCGGCCAGCACACCAGCCCAAGAGGCACTTGAGCTGGGACCGAGGGTAGAAATCAGCTGCAGGCTTCCTGCTCCGGGGCCAGCCTGCAGTGGGGGACCTGGCGTCCTGCTGCTTTTCCTCCGTGTGACCTGTCACACATCCAGAGAATACAGGCGGGGGGTCCTTGCTAAGCAACCTCCCGGCCATGACCCTGCGGTGGGCACAGAGGGTAGAGGTGGGCGCAGATATTTATAGTGGTGCTCAGCCCCTCTGTGGGTGCCCCAGCCATTGTCCTCCATCCCACGGTTCCACATTATGGGGTCTTGAACAATACACCCCTCCCTCAAAACACACACATAGTCTAGAAGCAGGTACTACCTGGGGCCAGGGCCAAGGCCAGGCCCCTCAGCCCCTCCCTGCAGCCCTGCTTGCTCTCCTACCAGGGACAATTAGTGGCTCAGCTTTAATTAGCTAACGATCCCCTTCAGCTCCAATCACTTGAAATGATGATGGAGAGCCAGGGGAGGGGACCTCGGGCCAGGGACCCCATGAGCCAAGGAAGAATCCTTTCAGGTCCAGTTGTCTCCGGCCTGGCCCAAGCCCACCTTTCCTGGGAGCCACAGGCGGTGGGCTGCGGTGATCCTCGTAGGAAGGGGTACCTGGGCTCTGGGGCCGACAGCCTCACGTTTCCCGCCCCCATGGGCTGCTTTCCATCTTGCAACAGGAGCTGAGCTGCCTGTCTGCCTCCCGGGGGCCTGGCTGTCACCTCCCTGTCCCTCTTGTTCCCCGTCGCTACTGCGCCTTGCTGGGTCAGCTCAGCCACACCCCTGACTTGTGCCACATCGGAGCTGGGCAGGACAGCTGGAGCAGTGGGGAAATCTGCTTCCGACAGAGTCGGGAAGAGGAAAAGAGACCACGTCCCAAGCCACAGGATAACATCAGGTGGGGACACAACTGCGAGGCCACTTCAGATGGGGAGATGCAGGAAAGGCTGTGGAGGTGGGGACATCTGGAGAGGAGGCCAAGTTCCCCGGGTCTCTGGGCACAGCCGGCTGGGCAACCCCTGGGCGTGGCATCTGGGGATTTCCCACCTGTCACTGCCCCTGGGCTGTCCAGGCCACCGTCCCACCACATGTCTCCCAGAGAAGAGGGCCCTCTGGCCGCTTCCCCTCTGGGTAACCCACAGCCGCAGACTGAGGACACAGGGCTGGGGACCAGGCCCCAGGTTGGAGGGACCCCTCGGCCACATATAGCATGGTGAGCTGAGGGGGGACTCTCAGGGACGTGAATGAGAAGCAGCCACACCAAGGAGGCCTTGGACACAGGGGACCAAGGCGTCATGAAGGGTGAGGGGCTGGATGTGCCAGCCCGGATGGCAGCTGGGTGGCAGGAGAGGAGAGCCCCCCTCTCCAGCAAGGGAGGGAGAGCTCAGGGCCAGAGTGGGGAGCAGAGTGAATGGGGAAGGGGGGGCGAAGGAGTCTGGGCTGAGACGCTGTGATCTGGATCCGTGTGCTTTGGGGGCTGGCAGGGACAGGTGACACCCAGGGCGTGGGGGTGTGGTAGGACCCTGTCCACGGAGCAGCGTGGAGTGCAGGGGTGGAGGAGGAGCAGGTGCCAGGGAGGCAGGTGAGCCAGGACTCCAGGTAAGGCCTTGGGTTTTGGGTCCTGATAGGTGTGTGGGTGGCACAGAGTATGTCCCTCAGCTGAGGGTGGGACCCTGAGGACCCCTCTGCTGGGTGTGGGCATTGACACAAAAAGACCCTAAAGACCCCTGCCCCTGCGTGGGAGGCAAGGCCTCACCATGCGTCCTAGTGTGTTCTGCAGATAAATAGAGAGGACCCATGCTGGTGCGGCCAGAGCTTCCTGTCCCCTCCCTCAGAAGGCTGGGAGTGACAGGTGAAGGAAGGCCTTCATGTCTTCATGTCCTCTACACATGTGTTTGGCTCAAGGCTCTTGAAAAAAGTATGTTTTGACATCTTCCTTCCTTCCTCCTTCCTTTCCCTTCTTCTCCCTCCCCACCCCCTTTCTTTGGACAGGATCTAGCTATGTAGTTCAGGCTGGGTGATCCTCCTGCATCAGCCTCCCAAGTGCTGGTTTATAGGTAGACACCACCAGCCCTGTCTTACACATTTATTATATAAAATGAAGACACTGATCTACAGATTGGGAGGAGACTGTGTGCATTGAGGGGAGTAGAACCAAGAGGGCACAGGGCACTGGAGTGGTAGCCCTGAACTGCAGGTCAGTGGGTCCTACAGCAAAGGACAGGTGTGCTTAGGATGCCAGACCTGGCAGGTTTGTAGGTGGGCACTGTACCTGGTGCAAGGCCTGGCTCTGGGGGACCCTTCACTCACGGTTTCTGTATGCTGATCATTGCTGTTGCCCAAGTTTGAACAGGTGTGTGTTTGATGCTGGGCTACCAAAGGGTCCGTGGGCCACACACACAGAGGAAGAATGGGGCCTTTGATCCAGTGTGCTGGGGCCCAGGGAGAGCACATGTGCAGCCCAGAAAGGCAGCAGCTGACCAGGTGGGACAGGCCACTCCCAGGTGGCCCAGGAAGATGACTGGGAACGGGCTGGCACTTGACCATGGAAGAGGTGACAGTGTGTTCTGAGAGGCTGGAGCGGCAGGTGTGAAGGCCAGCTGTGTCCTGGGAAATGACAATAGGTCAGGGTTGCAGAGGGCAGAGGGAAGCAGGGGTGGGCACACAGACTGAGAGCACACAGGACAGCAGAGGCCTTGTGGAGCCATGAAGAGGACAGGCTTCTGAGGGCTGCAGGGCAGTGGGGAGGCCAGGACAGCCACTCAAGCTGGAGGCCCACAGCAAGGGGCCCAGCTGAGAGGCTCATAAACTGGGCCTGGTGGCACAGATCTGTATTCCCAGCTCTCTGGGAAGCTGAGGCAGGAGAATTTCAAATTCTAGCTTATCCTGAGCAAGTTAGTGGGTTAGCAAGATCTTATCTCCGAAAAAAAAAAAAAAAAGAAAGAAAGGCTGGGGACACAGCTCAGTCAGTGTAAAGTCCTGTGTTCGATCCCTAGTACCACTAAAAAAAAAAAGAAAAAAAATCCATTTTGTAGCCAGGCACAGTGGCACCCTCTGACCGTAGTCTGGGTACTTTGGAGGTTGAGGCAGGAGGATCACTTGAGCCCAGAAATCTGAGATGAGCCTGGTCAACACAGTGAGACTCTGACCCAAACAGAGAATGAATGAACAAAGGAATCAATTATACAGTAATTTAAAATAATTTTAAAAGTCCTTTTAGTGCTGTGACTCACAAGTGGGATAAACCCCGGGAAGCCAGGCGGCCACAAGTGGAGGGCCAGGAGGTTCAGGGAGGTGCTGGGTCAGGCCTCTGGCAGCAAGTGCACCCCAGGGCCCCGGCCTGGGCGGTAGGGACCTGTGCCCGGGAGCCCCATCACCTGCGGCAGGCACCCACATCTCCAGGGAGAGCCCAGGCCGGCTTTGCGGAGCTGCCCTGCGGCTGCAGCCTCCCTCCGCCCCTCCCTCCGTCCCGGCCACTTGGGAGAGTCATTTCATTTCTCAAATTAAAAATCCATTCTGCGCTGTGAATAATGGATGGATGAGCCCGAAGAGGCCGGGCGGAGGGCGGAAGACACCACAGGATGTGGGGAGGAGCAGGCTGGACAGCCAGGAGTCTGGGGTTTCCCTGAGCTGGCTCCTTGCCCTGACGGGTTGGGGTGCTGGCGCTCTGTCCCTCAGCTGTTTGAGGCAGAGTAGGGCAGAGGAAGGGCTGAGCTCAGCCAGCCCGGGGCCGGCAGCCCTTCCCTGGGCCGAGGCACCAGGCGCTGCCCTGGGTAAATGTCCAGTGCCTGGGCATCCTTATGTGAGCCTGCAGTCTCCCAGGAGCCCCAGAGTCAGGGCTGTGGGGTGCTCCTTCCCCAGAACCCCGACTCAGGGGTGCCCTGGCTCTCCAGCTGGCTGGGACGTACCCTAGAAGATGGAGCAGGTGGAGGGGCTGGCTCCAAAATTTTCTCCACCCCTCGCGTCCCAAGGGGTCTTCTCTTTCCAAAACAGCTGGGCACAGGTGTGTCCTGCCATTCTCCTGCACGGGGTCACCTTGGCACCTGAGGAAGAGCCCTAGAAAGCTCAGAGAGGGCGCAAGAACTGGGGGTCAGGCCTCTGGAGCCCCCACTCTCCTAAAGCCTCACCGTCCCTTTTTAGGAGGGGATAGGAGTGAAGGAGGTGGGGCCGGGCCCCTCTGGATGGCAGGCTGTGTAGGGGTGATCAGGACCCAGCGGTCAGAGGGCCAGAGCTCCAGCCAGCTGCAGTGGGCCCTGGCTGCCGGGCTTCGGCTGGGCTTGGGCTGGGGAGCCCGGGCTGGATGTGGGGAAGGAGACTGACCAGAGCTGGAGGCCTACGCACCAGGCAGGGCAAGGGCCTGGCCAGTCAGGTGGGCGAGGCAGCAGGATGACCTGATAGCCTGAAGGGAGGCCCAAGAGCTGAGCTGGGAGAGAGAAGAGGGGAGGCTGGGGTCCCCATCCTCCCTTTCAGAGCAGGAAAGTCCCTGGGGAAGCGTGTTTGCCTGTGCGCCTCGATGTCGGGGAGAGTCAGCTCCCTGAGACAATATCCATTTTTATATTTCTTGGAAATTTCATGGCATTCATTTCGGGGAAAATAAAAGCTGTCATTGCTGGAGAAATGATACCAATCAGGGCCTGAAAAGGCTGGAAAATTATCCTCCAGGAGATGGAACATCGAGGGGAAAACGCAGATTAGAAGCACAAAGAGCCGCCCCGCCACCGCCCTGCCCGCCCCTCCCCCTCGTGGAATCACCACGGCTTGCGTAATTCCATCCCTCCTTGTAGAATTAATTTGACCAGAGAAGACGCATGAGGCACAGAGAAGCCTGGGGTGGCCGGAGAGTGTCGCACACTATCCCAAGTGGGGGCTTAGAGACACAGACAGAGGACAGGGCGGAGGCGGCCACTTGGGAGCTGGGCCCAGTAGCCAGCTGATGAGAAGCCCCAGAGAAAGACGACAGGATGGCGGGCTGTCCTTGCAGTGACCACCTTGTCCTGGTTTTCATCCCAGGAGGGCCGCGGCGCTCCAGCACTCCTGAGGCCAGTTCTGTAGGTTGGAGCCAGAAGGTCAGGGAGGCCTAGTGCTTTGGGGGGGATTTGCCAGGGGCACTAGAGGGAAAGGGGTGGTAGGCGCTTCAGGCGGGCAGAGCCTCCAGAGATGGCGTCCCATGTCCAAGAAGCCCCAAGTTCTCGGTGTTCCGAGCGGGCCTGGCCCTGTGAGCTCAGCACGGAGGAGGGCGGAGAAGAACTCAGCCTAGGGCAGGAGGGAGACCCACATTTAAACAGCAAGTTCCTTTGGAAGGGGTGTGGTCAGTTCGCCCTGGATGCCTGTCTACATGCCAGGGTCTGGACACTGGTCGCCCAAGGGCTGGAGTTGCTGGGCACAGGGTGCAGGCTCCCTTTCTGCTAGACGTTTTCTCCCTGCTGGGGCAGGGACTTCCTGAGCAGGGGTGCCAGGCCAGCCAAGGCCGAGGATGGGCACTGTCTCAGCCGCAGCCTCTTCGGGCAGCGCTGCCCTTTGGGGCCTGGCGAGAGGAGCACGGCCAACCAGAAGCCTAAACACAAACACCTGCCGATCACAGCGGGGGTTATAAGGAAGTGGAGGACGCCAGATTTGGAAGGCCCTCCATGCCAGGCTCTCCCTGCGCGCCTCCCAGCAGTCCTGCGGAGTGCTCTCGGGGCTGAGCTCCAGCCCTGTGGGCCCCGCTGGGGCGTTCTACGCGCCCCTCCATAGGCTCTGATCGGAAGCACCGCATCGGAGGGGGACCCGGCTCCGGGAAAAGCATACGCGCGCACTCCTCCCGGGACACAGCTGGACCTGGAGTCCCCGAGCCCTAAGCTGGTGCGCGACTCCATCTCCGCAGCCGCGGTCCCCACCTCCGCGCTGCCGCGGAGCTGACAGGTAGCCGCGAGGGAAGCAGGAAGCAGGAGGGGCGCGGGGGGTGGGGGCGGGCGGAGG